TGACACCTGGGATCGAAAAAAATAAATGGAAAATAAGTAAAATGAGCTTAATATATCAAACCACCAACCAGTCATTGTGTAAGTGACCCAACATGATTGAAAATTGTGGACGTTGCCAACGTTCAGGAGTCAAGAAACGTCAAGCTAATTGATGATGTCTCTTTCATACACCAGGATTCATTCAAAGGATCCGGACTACAAATACTTCTTGTTTCAGCCAGCAAAAATGATTTTTCAGAAAATGATTTCTGTATTATCTCCATCATTATTTACCTACATCATCCAGTGGCTGCCTTCTCTCTTAGCCTTGTTGTGAAACGAGAGAATCACCAAATATGTAAAACCAGCCTCCAACAATGCAGTAAAACAAATCCTAGAGGGAAGACATACCAACTTCAAGCCTATCTGAATATATACCACACAGGCCTTCAGAAATTGGATTTACTATTGGCTGTACCGCACATGACTGTCGAGACCAGCCCCACCCACGGCATCGCACGGTCAGTGGTCCGCGTTTCAACGGCCCCTGAACCCACCCAGCAAGCTACGTTCGTTCGATTCAAATTCCTATTTCAAGCACAAGATACCACAAACCACCTCGGAAAAAAAAATGATTTATATGGATTTATGGATTAAGGATGATTCAGACGGATTAAGAAATTCTGGGTTTATGGACCTCGCTCTCTTTTTTGTGGAAGTGTCTGGCCTTTCTTGAAGCTGCAGGGCTGGTACAGGAGACCTTCTTTAAAAGTAGCACCACCAGAAAGAGATCAGAAACGATGCCAGCATTGGCAATGGCAGAACGTAGTTCCTCGCCACGGCCGTTTTTCCGCTGGTCTCCACTGACAAAAACAATCAAAAACATCTCTCCATTGGTTCGCTGGTCGAGTCAGTGGGTATCCCAAAATGGAAAGGATTCAGCAGCCAAAAATGAACCAAAAATCGGTGCTTTGGAGAGCAGCCTTCAAAACCTTGTCATTCCTCTATTCTCATAGATTGATATGGGTTACCATAATTGGCTTTGATATGTTTCAATATTAGAATAGATTCTAATTGTTCGATAAGGTGAACGTTTTGTAAAACCAGGTAGGTTCGGTTAAACCCCCCTAAAAACAAATTCACCCCACCAGTGACCACCTGAAGACTTGGAGGAGTATCATCCACCAAAAACCAGTAACTGGTTATTAGTAACCATAGTTACCCTCTGGTTATGTCAAAATAGCTATTGAAAATGGCCATTTATAGATATTTATAGTTGATTTAGCCACTAAAAATGGTGATTTTCAACAGCTATATTAGTTTACCAGAGGGTACAAATCCAGATGACCCACGAATCGGTGACTTGGGGATGATTCACCACTTGCTGCTCTCCAGTAAACTAACATAGCCATGGAACATCACTGGCCTATTCACTTCATTTTACTTCGATGATTTATCATTTTTAACATGGCGATTTCCATATATCATATAGCCATGTGACAGATTACCAGATGGCAAGTCCCATGATATGTACAAATGATTCCCATTAATTCTATCCCCATTGTATTCGCATAGCAAATAGTATGTCCTGATCTTATATTAAATATCATATTCATTATACTATCATTTTAGTATATAAAATCATGACCCTATTAGTACAATTAGTACATTATTATACTGATGTTTTCCATAAAAAGTTAATGATACCCCCATTATATTCGCATTATATTTCCATGGCAAATGGTATGTCCCCATTAAATCACCATTATATCAATGCCATTACTGTGTATTCCCGTCCTTAAGATCCACATGTTCCATATCCCCCTTGTACCCCTATATGAAATGTCTATTAACTATATTCCCCCCATTGCATTAGCTATATAGCAATCCCAAGATAGATAGAAAAAAGTGCGAGAAGTAAATATCTATTCACATCCTGGAAACACTTTTCCATATTTTTCCCATAAGTAAATTTCATCTATTTAAGGCTTTGTCTGAAAATAGGCTACCCTCCGGTAAAAAAACATTTTCAATAGCTATCTTAAATTACCAGAGGCTATGGGGTGTTTGTGATGGGATGTAGTCTTATAGGTTCAATGGTTTCAATGGACATAATGTGGTATTTTGCAACTATATCCAATTATATTATACATTCACATCTATATTTGAAGATATTATTGTAACTACAGTATATCCCATGGAAACAATTAGATCCATTATAAATTAGATGCCATAATTGTAACTATTACACCATTATATACCAATATATCCATTATATCATATTATATATTGTATGCCATATATCCATTATAACCATTATAATATTCTCATCATTTTCCCATTCGCATCCCGGCGCACCTCCAGGTCTTGACCCGTCGCAGCTCTGCCTTCGCAGCCAAGAGCGCCGCCGAGACCGCGCTTTGCTGCGCCTGCCGTCTGGCGCAGGCTGCGTCGGCCTGGGACGAAGAACAGGGGGGTTAAGATAAAAACATTGGGATTGAATAAGGTTTAATGGGAATATCATGGGAATATAGTGGGAATATAGTGGGAATAGAATTGGGAATCAAATATAGATGTAATACACTATAAATATATATATATAATTCATAATCATATAATATAATAAATATATGATATGATCGGATTTTCCTTCTGGTAAACAAACATAAGCATGGACAATCACCATTTGTTAGACGTAAATCAACTATAGCTATGTTAGTTTTCCAGAGGCTACCCATTTTCCAGCTGGGATGTACTTCGGCTATGATTCAGACATACTTCAATTATCCCAAACACTACTGACATACTAAATGCATGGTCGTGGATGATTCACCAATATGGGTTTCCACTAATATTCCATGAAATCCCAAATGTTTCATGGTCAAATCTAACTTTTCATATGCCACATAGTGAAAACCTGCACCAGTTGGTAGATGGAAGAAATCCATAGAAATCCCTAGAAATATAGAATGATATAGAATCAACAGTGTGAATTGGCAACGGTATCGTGCAGTCCAACGCGGCTCTTTTTGCTAGTGGCGATAGCGATGTAGCTCAAGGGCCCTGATAGCCGAAATGGCAGCAGACACTACATGTGACAACCTGGCCTTTACATGGAGTATCACATACCACAAATTGACACTCAACCTGTTCTTCAGGTGTCACATAGAAATATATACAGCTATGTCTGTACAGGGCATTGCGGAGAAAGAACGCAGTGGTGTTATTACTGCTTCTGTACTTTGTACATGCACTCTGCCAACACTCGAATTATGAAATCTGGTTTCATACTCTTTGTAAGGCAGTCGCTGATCATGGTGTGTGTTGCTATCCATGACAGCTTATCTCCTCCATTCGGATAGATGTCCCATGTTTTCGGTCATCATTCCAGTAGGATTCGTGAATACTTTGTAATTCGATGCCAAGTCTTTTGTCGCTCACCTTCGCCAGGATCTCGGAAGCCAAGTGGTCTGACAATGAGCGGCAATCTGTGAGGGCTAAGTGCGGTACGCAGCTCCTTGCATCAGTTTCCCATGTCCGCATGGATTTGATCTGGCCTTTGAGTTCTGCCAAGACACCTCTGAGCTTGTCCCCTGCTTCGAGACCATGCTGCAGTGAATACGTCTCAGCCTGGAGCGTGCTTCGACACACACGTCGGATCGTGGTAGAGCTGTAAGACAGAGGCATTACTCTGTACGTGTTGCAGCTACTGCTCTTGATCTCTGTGAGGTCTCCAAGAAAGTGACAACGTCCCTGTTGGGAACGGTAGTTCTGTTCATTGGAGAATGAAGCGTCAGTAATTGTGATCAGACCTATCTCATCCCATTTGAGATGTCCGCTTGGAAAACGAAGCCTTACCTGATCACCTTTGTGAGCAAGTTGTACAACTGCGTTTGCGTCGCACAAAGTGCTGACTGTGGCATTTTTGATTGAAGATTGTAGGCGGCTAACTCGGTACGCCAAATCTGGTCTTGTCTGGCGAGCAACCCAAGCGAGTGACCCGGTCACCGACCTAAGTCGTGTGATGTCATCACCTGAAATCTTCTCACTGCCTGGACGGCCAGCGTCAATTGGAATTGGTTTGATCTTCCTGGTGTTATCGACGGTGTCGACGAAAATGTCTCCGTCACCTGAACGCGAAAACTGCTTTCCGCAATACCTGAACTCGTTCACTTCGGTGCTGCCGATGTTGAACTTATTCAGAAAACGTTCGATGACTTCCTTACCTTCGGGCAAGTAACAGTACAAAAGATCGTCAACATGTGTGCACATCAATGCGCATGTATCACCATCGCTCCCTGGAAGAAAATAAAGACCTGGGAAAAACTGTGATGCTTTCATGCCTTCTTTCTTGGCATCTCCATCCAATCGCAGCCAAAATCCGCGACCTGAGTCTGTGAGTCCATAGATTGGTACCCTTACGAGGTAAACAATTCCCTCGTCAACTCCTGGGATGCCACCCCGGGGTTGTCTCATCAGGAGTACCCGGTCCAAAGGTCGTCCTTGGAAATATGCTGATGTCACATCAGCCGAATGCAAGTCGAGCTCATGTGCTGCACACCAACAGCAAATGAGGTTGTGAACCTCAATGTCAGCTGTGGGGCTGTCTGACCTCAGACCGTCACTGCATTCGAAGTTTCCGCAGGAAACTAACCTGCTTTTGTATTGTGGCTGGTAATTTGGATCTCGGCCTTTCTTGTACTGAGCTTTGTCAACATCTACCCATTTGGAGGGTATAATCTGATGTCCCTCAGCAACAAGCTCTTGCACTTGATCCGGAGTCAGTGGCACGACTGCTCCGAAGCTTTCAAACTTTGACCATTCCTGGGCTCGAGAAGCTTGCAGTGCCTTTTGAACCTCAGGTGGCGCTGATTCGAAATGAATGCTTTTCAGGACCTTCTTGCCTTCTTCTACAATCTCATCTTTCCCTGCCATAAAACATGTGAACATGGCTGTGGACTGTTCAACTTGTTCTACGGACCATTGTGCGGCCGCATTTCGGGCTCGCTCAAAGTGGCTCCTCAGGGATGCTGGAAGGTCATAAGACTGTCATACGGATTGGGCCATGATTGTGGCCCTGCGGCTTGTGATGGTGTTGGCTGTGGTGCTTCAGCAGAAGGTCTGTCTGCTGAGTCAACAGATTCGCGCCTGGAAGGCATAAGCGATGACCCTCTTTCACTCTCAGGTTGGGTTTCAAGACGGGGTCTCACGTTTCTGTCGGCACGAGGGGCAACACTTGATCTCCGTCTGTCCAGACTGGAACTGGCAGCTTCAATCAATTCATCTGTACCATTTACTTCATCTGACATGTCTTCACCATCAATGGTGATTTCCGGTACAGTTACCCCTGCATTATCCAATTCTTCATCTTCGGGTATTGGTGGTAAATCCTCATTATTATCTCCCCAATTTATGAATGGTAGTTCAGCTCCCTCGCCTGAGGCAATTGGTTCAGGTGCCTCAAGTACGGATGGCTCATATCCGTCACTTTGGGAATCTGGGGAAATTCGAGCATCCAAAAAGGATTGCTGTTCACCTCCGATCACGACCTCATCAGGAATGACAGGCTGCCCATGGAGAACCGAATGCGCCAATGCTTCACTTGGAGTAGCTACCTTCACATTCTGACTGGCCACTAGTACCGGGACATTTCCACAAAGCAACCATAGGTTTCTCTCTCCCTCGTGGCCTATCACCCTACTTGTGGGACTCCATCGTGTGCCTCCCCGCTGGTTATCCCTGCGAAAAGTCACCAAGTCCCCGATTTCGAAGTCTCTCGGAAAAGGTGATGTGTTTTTGGTCATGGCTCGCTGGACACGCTTGGAGCAATCGAGGTATACAAATGCTTTCTGTGCTTCCTGCCTAGCAAGATGCTGCAAAGCAAAAATGCTTTCGGGGTTGTGCTGGGCCTCCAAGGCTCCGAGCTCTGCAAATCGCTCTTCGGACAATGGACTGGGGTCTGAGCGTGGTGCCTTACCCAACACCCACTGTGATGGTGAAAAACCTCCTACACGTGATGCATTATTCTTCACCATGAGCACCTCTTGCAGAACTGACTCAACCTGTTCTCTGCCAAGAGGTTGAGTTTCTTTTGAGACCTTTCGGAAAAGAGCTTTGGCAATGGCCCCGTGGCGCTCTACACGGCCAAGGTTTTCAGGTGCCTCAAGTGGGCTGTGATAAACCTGAATGCCATGATCGTCCATGTACTTTGACAGTACACCACGGTTATGCAACCCTCGGTCACACATCAAGTTCACTGGGTGTCCACTCCATGAAAACCAACGTTTCTGCAGGGCCTTCAGACATTCACTGGATGATGGCTGTCCCTGGCCTGTTCTGACAACCTCGCACAGTTGAAATGTCGTCCCAAGATCTACCATGTTCAAAACTTGAAACTTGGAACCACCTGCATCAATGATCTCAAAAACATCAATTCCCAAGCTATGGTTGAAAGAGTAGTTGTGGGGCAATGCAGTTTTGTGTGTGGGTTTCTTTCGGGATGTTTCTTCACATGCTGTGCACCTATGAAGTTTTACTGCATCAATGAACTCTGTTCGAACCCTGGCAGCACGAAGCAAGTGGATCATGGTCTGCCTCGGCACATGACCAAACTGACGGTGAAGTCGCCTGACAGCGATCCTCACTCTGGCTGGAAGCTTTCTCCACTGCCTGCGTCTCTCCACCTCATCTTGTGGAAGTCCTGGAATCTCGACTTCGTCAATGAGGGTTTCCTCAGAAATCAGTTCCTCAACAGGGTTCACCTGGGCTCTGTCATCGGAGTCCCAGAGGGCGTCAAGTCGTTGATGCTCTTCATGTGCTTCTTCATGCATGTCCCCCACAAACGCTATCCCCATTTGATGGTTCAAATCATCTTCCTTGGCCCAACTCCCAATCCAATCTGCAAACTTCCAAGACAAGACATCGTCCATCGTCTGTCCACGAAACCAAGATTCAAACTCATGGGTCCACTGTTCGTCATTGCATGTGAATGCCAAACCATGGTCATTGATATATGGTGTTTGGGGGTGTTGATGTTTCTCCCATCGATCAGTCATGGCAACATCTATGTGCAGAAACTTGCAATTGTCCAAGTCGCACATCAACTCCACTTCTGCCAGAAAACGACCATGTCCCAATGGATCATTTGGGTTGTTGTATCCAATGGCAATGACAATGTTTTGATACCCCTCCAACAGATTACAAAAATCTTTGGGGTCAAATTCAGGGTCAAGATGACTGGCCCCCACACCAACGTCGATCACGTCGACCGAAGGCTGGCCAGACTCCTGGACGAACACGAACGGATGGGAAGTGAAAACAACTGTCTTGCTATCTCGATTGGGATTGGAAATCAAACCAAGTCCACTCTGGATCATCATGCCGTTCTTGTTCAAATTGGCAATACCGTCCAACACTGCTTTACGGTGTTTCCTACCCATGGTGACTCTCTCATTGGGTTGGATGGCAATTGGACCATGTTCATGCACTTCAACATCGGTGTCAGAGTCCAGAACAACTTCATGCATGTTGGGACCATCTGGATCTCTGGCCATGAGTCCAACTGGCAGTACATCACCGGGTTCGGTTTTGATGATCACTTCATCCTTGGGGGTTTTCTCATGACAAGGCTTTCCATTGGAGGATTTGCTTTTCACAGGTTTGGCAACAGGGCTCTCATCGGATGAACTTGTGCTATAGTCGGTTGACTCATCTTTCGGGGTCTGAATCTTGGGGTTTCCCTTGAACATGTCATCATCTGTACAAATCATAAACCGACTTGGCTGTGGTGGAGTTGGAGGATTCTTTCGACTCTGCAAATGGACTTTTGTTTTGGGGACATATTTCTGGCTCTTTTGGGGCTCCGTTTTTGGTGCGTTTTGGGGCTCCGTTTTTGGTGCGTTTTGGGGCTCCGTTTTTGGTGCGATACTGCCCTCAAAACCCTGATCACCTGACAACAAAACCACGCGCCCCGTATATGCTCGCGGGCGCACGTCTCGATGTGAGAAGATCACCAAATCGGCCCAAGTAGTCGGGAGATCGACGTTCTCTCCAACAGCTTCTTCCCGTTGAAGTCTGTTCCACAATGTTCCTGCGGAATCACGTGGTCGATAGAATGACGATTTCACCCAACCCTGTCGATTCATCCATTTGCCACCTGAAATCAAAGTGCTCCTCACGTGGGATCTGAGCTTGATGTCCACCCTGATGCCTTGCTGCTGCTGCTCCTCATGAGGAAGGCTGGGGTCTGTAATCCAGATCACCCGATCTCTGTTTCCCCACAGTTTTGCAGAAGAGATGATCCAAGAAAGGATGTCTTCATCGACATTCCAGCAATATGGGTCTCCGCTGTTGTCGTTCAAGATGTCGCGGGGTTCCCTCTCAAGTCGCTGACGCTGAGACTCATCACATGGGCGTCGAATCGGTGGCCTCGGTGGTGATGGAGGGGTCCTTGGAGAAGGTACCCTTGGAGATGACACACGGCGTCTGCTTCGAGATCGCCGACCACGCCTGCCGCTCGAAGAGGATCTTCTTCTGGTCCTTCCACGATCAGCTCGTTCTCCTTCAAGCACCTGTCTCACAAGACCTGAGAGCTCCTGGACCTGATTAGCAAGAACCTGTACTGCTAAGTCTCGGTCTTGTCCTCCATAATCACGGCCTCGTTCGTCTCCTTCGTGATGTGCTCCTCCACGAGATGAGTCTCCAGCACTACGGCTTGGAGGTGGATATGCTGGAACATACCTGGGTGTCAAAGGCGTTCTCGTCGATGTACCTCCAAAGGATGGTGTCATAGGAGCACGGACTGGAACTGGCATAGTCCTGGATGGTGTCAACGTGGGGATAGATCTCGTCGCCGTTGTAGTAGGCCCTGGTGCCGGTGGCCTAACAGGCTCAGGCGGCCTAGTAACTCCTGATGACCTATCAGGTTCATCCACATCCACAACACGCACGTCAGGAAGATGCCTGTTCATCAAGTTTCCAAGCTCTCTGGTGTCGGCTGTTGCACAAAGACTGCAATGACCTCCACAAGTCATCTCACGCCACTCCGGGCTGTGATAATGGATCAGCAAAGGCTTCCTCCAATCAGTCACGTCCAAGAAGTAGTAGATCAAAGCTGCCAATCCAACACTGCGATGACGACCACTGGTGCAGTACAAGTGGATCACGAGCTTCCCATTCGGGTTAGCCCTCAAGAAATCTGTCACCTGCTCAACGAGGTCATTCATTGCTTCATGAAGTGCAACTCCTCGGATAATGCTAGGATGTCGTCCAGTGCAACCTCGGATCGATCTGTCGCTGTCAGGATCATGGAAATGCCTGCAGTCAATCTGAAGAACCTTAGCACCAGGGAAGCTTGGCTGTCGACCTGTCCAACGAGCACCTGAAGTGACCACAAGGCATCGGGATCTGTCCAGTCCCCTCAGGCAGTTGTTCACGGCACCTTCGATGTGATCTGCGCTTGACGAGCTGTAGCCACTTGGAGACCTCAACATCTCACTGGCCGACGGCGAACCAGGCTCGTCGGATAGGGCGGCAAAGGCAGTTCGAAACTTTCTGTGGCACTTTGGGATCTGTTGTGAAATGTGATTGGACGTTTTTCCTGTCGGATCAATTTGATTTGGGGTGATTGCTAACATCATCAAACCTGTATGAGAACATCTGAAAACTGGCAACTGATTACCATCAATGGATACTGTTCCATTCTTCAAGTCCTTGACAAGTCCAAGATGGGCTTGAGCATGCAGTGACAGCAAGAGTGGTGATGTCCCGGAGCTAAGTTGGTGCGTCTCAAGTACCCCATGAATGGGTGTACACTTGCTGTCCATGAAATTCAGGCTGAAAGGCAATGTACGGGATCCCTCGGTCGAGGTTCCCCCGGTCCCCAATCCAGAGAAGGTTTTCCCCTTGGTGTCATTGAATGGAAACTGGTATCCCAAGTTCTTCAGCTTGGCAGTTACTACCTCAGCCCAATGTTTGGAGTGACAAGTTGAGTTACACCCCTCATCCAACACGGCATAGATATTGGGATCACTCATGTCGTACATGTCACGGGTCTCTTGGAACACATGCACCAAGCCATCAGACATCTCTACATCTGGCTCGTCCCCATGAAAACACACTCCGAGACCTGCAAAATCTTCCCCAGGGTTTTCCACATCACCAACCATGGTAAAACTGCTGTCTCCTTCTGCATTGGCGATGGATTGGTGGAGAAGTTCATGCAGCTTGGTCGAAGTGATGGCCTCAGATTCAGAACTGGTGGCGACTAAGGTGGCAAAATCATTGAGGATCATGTCCAGCATGTCGGGGCTAAAGGTCGCATCTTTGGAATCATCAACCAGTTGTTCAATGATGGAAACTCTTTCCAGGGGTGCTTCCAAGACTTTGGTGGAGACTGCTTTTCGGGTCCTTTGGAGCTCCATCGGAGTCTCATCCAGATACGTGCAACACTGCTTACAAAAGGTTCGGTGAACAGACCTTGAAGAACCACGAAAATCCTTGTCTTCATGTGGACACTGGTCATAAGGATATTGGGGGAGTAGTTCTCTCCTGGTAGTAGTTGAATGGCCACAAACCAGACATGTCTCCTTGATGGTGTAACCCGTACTCCCCTGACGAGTGAATTGGGTGCAATTGGCACACTTCTCCTTTGGTGGATTCGGTGGCTTCCTCAAACGTGTGTGTTGCTTTGGAAGAGGTGGTGGTGGCTCCAAACTACTTCTGCGATACACTATGTTCCCCCGATACTCAAAGTTTTGGTTCACCCACTCGGCATACTCTGAGGCTCCTGGACTCTTGGCGTTCTTCTGTGTCCATGCAAAGTAGTCAGGATGATCATGCAAGATCTCCCAAAACGTCTTCCCCTTAAACTGGCCAAACTTGAACTTCGTGTTACTCCCAATAGGTTTTGACGGGTCATTTCGTCCTACCGGAGTTGTGGGAGGTCCCAAACTGGGTGCCTTTGAAAGGGCAGCTGCACTCTTGATGGCCATGTTTGCAACTGGTGTTTTGGGTGATGATGCACTCAAGAAAACTCCCTCATCTGATGAAGATTCCGAGAAGTCTGCAAAGTGCGCTGTTGGCCTAGGAGGATTCGATGGGGGTTTTGAATCCTTGGCAGTAGCATTCCCCTTTGCACCTGGGAATTTACAAATGGGGTCACCTGCCCAGTGCCCGTAGGCGCCGCAGCGAAGGCATTTTGACTTGGCCTTAATCTCGGAAAGGCGCTTCCTGCGCTGTTCGATGGACAAGTTGGACCTGATGATTTTCCCTTTTCCTTTGGGTTTGCCTTTACCCTTTCCTTTCACACGTCCGAAGGCTGCGAATGCAGCTAGTTGGAGTTGGAGAGCTTCCCCAAGGCTCTTGTCATCTTCAGTTGATTCATCTCCTACATCCACTAGTGCATTCAGGGCAGTGGCTTCATACTCATCAACTTCGTCGTGAAAGTCAAAGGCTTCATAGGGATTGTCAACATTTGGACTTGATTGTTCTGGATGTTCCTCGATCCCACCAAGCAGACCTACGTATGGTGCATCCTCTTCATAGTATTCCTCTTGGTATTCATCATAGTCACCATAACCATAGCCTTCCTCATCGGGATAGGCATTGTAGGCTGTCTTGTAGGAACCTTTACCACTTTGGGGTCCTTTGGAACTTCCATATCCCTTACCAGACTTCCCATACTGTTGTGGGGTAGATGAACGTCCAACCCAAGACTTGGATCCTTCCCTCAAATGGATTCCTGAATACTGATCAACCAACACCTTAGCAACTCCTTCAAAGTCCTTGGTGGTGGCACATGCTTTTACGACCAGTACCTCTTGCCGGCTCAGACCTGACAATTCAAGCATGAGCTCCATACGGAGTCCATCTGAAAGTGCCATGGAAGGATCAAGCTCGGTCAACACTCTCCACCATCTGCGTCTGCGTTGAGTATAACTCAGCATTGGTTCTTGGGGTTGTCGGGACAAAACTCCACCTGCTTTCTGCCCTGCTCTGAAGAGTTCTTTGGCTTCTTCTTGAGCTCTGGGAAAAACATGGGCCTTGATTCGTTCAACCAATCGTTCAAGACCTTCCTCTTGGGACAGAGTCTCCAAACCGAGATCTCTGGCAATGAGAAAGGCATCACCTCGAAGACCTTCTACGACCTTGTTGACTAAGACACTACGATCTCGACCCGTGTCATCCCCTTTAGGGCTTCGACTGGCAGAGGCTCCGGCTTCGTCATCTGGCCGGCCTGGGCGCGGATGGGGTGAAATCCCAGCATCAGCTTCAGAGTCCGGCCCAACGGGCTCGGCACTCCTTCCGGTTGGGGAGGATTCTACATCTTTCTTTGAATCAAACAGCTTTATTCGCAAAAGGGTCCGGAATTCCCAATCATGATAATGTGCTGCATCCCCATGGTATATGTATGATCCACTCTTGGTCTCTAGGGGCACAGTGGATCGGTCAGAACCAAACCTAAGTCCAGCTACTGACATTTCTACGATTCCTTTGCGATGGACTGCCTATACCCAAGGTCAGCCAATTGCAGGTCTGTCCCACAGGGATCAGACAATTTCGGCAGAAAAAGTTCCAAGAACAAATCCGATTCAAACTTCTACTATTTTCAATCCCTGGATCTGACACGTACCCGGAGACAGGTCGTCACCTGCTCCGCTACCAATGTGAATTGGCAACGGTATCGTGCAGTCCAACGCGGCTCTTTTTGCTAGTGGCGATAGCGATGTAGCTCAAGGGCCCTGATAGCCGAAATGGCAGCAGACACTACATGTGACAACCTGGCCTTTACATGGAGTATCACATACCACAAATTGACAACAGTGTTTCATGGTTGCTGAAATATCTCCGGCCCCATTTCGCACCTCCTTGATCCACTGCTCGGCCTTGAAATGCCAGAAATCCGCATCTGCCTCGAATTCGTTCGCCTTGCCCATGGCCATTTTGTAAAGGGTGGCCATTGGGCATGGGTTCCAAACAAAAAAACGGAAAACGCGAATGGCACAACTCGAAATTTGACTGGAATTGACTTGTAGAATGAGTTATCACCCGGTTTTGAAACAGTTTGGACTGGCATTGTCCAAATCATTCCAAATCAAAGTCGACTGTTGAAACTCTTGGAGGTTAGAAAAGCTCAATTCATGGCTGGATTCTGAGCCTGTCATACAACGTCGGGAAATCTGATTGAACATCTGCCCACGCCATCAACCCTCTTTTCCTCCGCGGCGCAACGGCGCAACCATTCTGCAATCTGGTGGTTGAGAAAAGATCTGGGATGCCAATCAAAATAACCAGAAAATCATATAAAATCACCATGTGATCTTCATATTAAACATCATATTAACACCATCTTCCTTTTTAACACCATTAATCACCATCCACAACCGTGATTTTCCCAACCACCGCGCCGAACTGCTGGCACACGGACTCCTCGTGGAAGAGGCGGTTCCACCATTGCACTCTATACAATATTCTATAGATATAATGGATACAGATTACAGTATCAATATTCAACATATCTTCTTTCTCATTTTATTTTTATTTTCATTGATGAAACTGATGTTTGGAACATGACCCAGGCGCCTCACTCAGTGACTCACACATCGAAGCTCACGGCAGTCACCACATCGAAGCGTTCCAGGTATTCACAGAGCGTCTCCACCTGTTTTTTCGAGAAGATCCAGGAATCGTAGGTGGGTAATGACACCATGTTCTGAGCCAGCCAGCTGTATATATGAATATATATATATATATATATACGTATATAGAATATACCCTCTGGAAATAAAACATGGCAAGCTGGAAATTCCAGTATAAATAGAGGTTTTAATGGGACAAGCAACTATTTACGGAATATACTGGAGTATTACCTCTTGGATTAGTTGGTTAATATACGATTATATGTATATATATATTATATTTATATATAAAAGGCATACATGGAATTGAAACCACTCACTAGCTGAGATGCACATCCAAGTATTGGGACTCGGGACCATGAGAAAAACAGGATGGACAATGACTTGCCAGCACTGCTGATGTGAACCAGGGCACTTGGGGCACTTGGCTTTTGACCCACTGCCATGTTGGCAAATGTTCAGAATGACTTGATTGAGATCTCCCTGCTGAACAATCGCTACTGGACAGCACTGGGGGATGTGAAACTGTAGCCGTCCCGGGAGTCCCCAGATGGGTTTCCATAGCCTCTGAATTTTCTCAGGGTCGATGTATACAAATTCGACAGCACATCCAGAATGCAGATGCCCAGCCAATCAAAGCACTCTGAGTGGGGTGTCAACAAGTTACAACCAACATCAACTAACATAACCCTTCGTGCGTGCAGTAACTACGTATTCTGCGCAAATGTCCAGCCTTGTTCAAGTCCAAGTGATGCGTGAGCTTCTTCCAGTCTGACGGAATCCTCAGATGTCGCGCAACCGAAAGAACTTGGGGCCTCCGAGTAAAACCGAAACTGAGAAGCCTCCATCTGTTGATTGACCACCAATTCCCAACGACAGAGATTGTATGAAAGTCAGTTTGGATCATCTCATTTCTACGGATCAAAAGGATCAAAAGTGCCTGCTTGTGTACCCAGCATATCCCCATTTTAGATGGCGCCGCCAATCAGTTATTAAACCTGCGTGCCATGACTCAAACTCCCAGATGTATTGAAATCGTCATAGGTGGTCTAATTCCCCAGATTTGTTTGGTTCACATCCCCGTTGTGATAGACAAAGAAAAGAAAAGGGATGGGTTACGAATAGATATGAAAAAACAAAACCTTTGGTCGCTGGAGTCCTTAATTTGCATTTACCGTCGCGTAATTTAACATAGCTATATCATGCTATGACCCATTTATAAATGAATCACCTCTTACAAATTGTGATATGAAATATAGCTATATGTAAAATTGCCAGAGGGTCAAACAACTGGATTGGCAGACACTGGAACCGATCTTTTTTATGACACAAGGATACACAAGGTGATCCCCCCATAGGATCGCTTTCATCAAACATGTTTTAAACACGTAAATGGCAAAAAAACATGGTGACTTTGCACAGCAAAAACCCTTGTTGTTCGGCATCAAAAAAAATGGTTGGTTTCACCCCCTACAAATCTTATTCGTTGGGATCAAAAAATCCCAAAGAGAGCTGAATTTTCCATGTCCCAGGTGTGGTGATCTTGACGAAAACCCGGGCATTTAACCATCAAGAATACGGTGAAAACTCGGTGAAAACTCGGTGAAAACGGGTGAAGTGAAATCGATGGCAACATGACGTGGAAGACCCAATGGAATGTAAAAAGCAAAAAAAACACCAATCCCCAATTTGACCGGAAATGCGCGATATAAATCGATATAGATTAATGGCTTGAATAGTATAAAAACCATCTCCAAATTGGGAGCTTGATGATTCCGTCAAGTAACTTGGTGGCCAGGAGAAATTGCGACATATTGCGACAACATGTCCTTCCGGGCTTCTTTGGGTACTGGTCCACAGCCAAAGTTCATCGAAAAATGATCAATCAGTTGAAATCAGGATCAACTTCGCACAGCAGCTTGGAACAACTTTTTTTGACTCCACAGTTTCTCCCCGCAACTGTGTCTTTTGGAATTAAGAATTACTAGGCCCCTAAAGTCGCAGGCCAGTGTTCAGACTCAGGAGTCTGGAGATGAACATGGCGATGAACATGACACTCGGGCCGGCTGGCATCAAATGCATCAAACAGTTTGTTCACATAGGCCAAAACGGAATGGTCCTCAAAACACTCTGGCGTCAACTGGAAATCCTTCCAAGAATCAGGTTCCTTCTTGGAACTCAGTATTCGTAGAGGAATGAAATGCTCGTATTTCTTGGCAAGATCCTCAATGACATTGAAATCGGGCCTGTTCAAGAACTTGGTTGCCATTTCTTCCACAACTTTCGGTGACAAAGTCCCTTTGATGCTGCCATGCGGATCCGTCAAACCGTCATTCACGGCCACGGTTGCTTTCTCAACGAAATCTCGCAATTTCAAAGCGCCCCAAGCCCTTGGGCATGGATCATCAGCATGGATGTAGTTGACAGCACGCTCCTCAGCGAAGTCCTGGAATTTCCTGGCTTCCTTGGAGCTGCCCCCAAAAACCATGGGAGCGCCGAAGGTGATACATTGTAAATCAAACGAAGATAGATAATGATAGATACGTCTGGGTGTATTTGCTTGAAGCGTTCTCCACCACATCATCAAGCACAGCTGCGCATACTCACCACCTACTGAGTGTCCTGCAAAAACAATTCTCTTCACACCGTTTTCCCTGAGGAATCGAAATCTTGCCGGGCTAAGGCACTCGATCCAAAGTCTGATGCATGCCATGGCATATGTTGCTCCCCTACTGGCAAAAAAGTCATCCGAAACATAGACAGGTTTCAAGTTCCAGTTCTCAAAATCCAGCAAGCCCGACGTTCTCCTGAACACAATGAAAAACACCTTCCCCACAGGCAAATCTGCAATGACACCTCGCAGTCTCACAGGTCTTCCCACCTCTGTCGGCTCACCCCAATCATGAACCTCAAACGAGGCATGCTCCAACGTTGGAGGTTCTGGGTCATCAGTGTAGATCCAAAAACTCAATAAGGCTGCCACCAGATCTACAAACTGCGGGGTGGTGTGGACATCACTCGTCGGCAAACCAAGCCTCAACGACCTCGAACACAACAGCCGAATCTTCGCGGCATCGCAAGGTACTGCCACCACCTGGCCGTGCACTGAGCAACTGGGCAAAAAATCAAAGTCTTTCTGCTCTGCCGGATTGCCTGATGGCACAAACCTGGTGAAAGCTCGCCGAGACAAAGGATCGACTACCAGAGTGTGCTCTCGATCATTGCAAGGCCCTGCCACCACCTGGCCATTCACCAAGCAACTGGAATTGAAGAATTGCCATCCACCTGCACTGATGGCGAACGCCTGGCGAGATGTGGGATCCACCACCAACGCCTGCTCAGCCGAGTAGGGCACTGCTACCACCTGGCCGTTCACTGAGCAACTCGACTTGAATTTGTCAAGCCGCTCTTCATCGATGTCTAGTGGCAGCTCAATGGTGAAAGCTTCACGAGATGCAGGATCTACCACAAGAATCTCTTCAGCATCATTGGGGACAGCCACAACTTGTCCATTCACCAGAGCACTGGTTTGAAACTTTGCTGAACCCTTTGCGAAGACTGCTGGTGGTAAGTCTACGGCAAAGGCTTGACGAGATAGGGGATCAACCACCAAAATTTTCTCAGCATCATAGGGCACTGCCACTACCTGGTCATTCACCACGCAACTGCACGCAAACTTGCCACGTCTGTCTGCTTTGATGCCTGATGGCAGGTCGATGGTGAAGGCCTGACGAGACTGAGGATCAACCACCAAAATTTTCTCAGCTTTGAAAGGCACTGCCACAATTTGGCCATTCACTGAGCAACTCGATTGGAATTTATGACGTGTCTCTGCATTGATGCCTGATGGCAGCTCGATAGCGAAAGCATGGGGAGATGCGGGATCCACCACCAGAATGCTCTCGGCATGGTAGGGCACTGCGACCACATGGCCATTCGCCGAGCAACAGGAAAGAAACTTATCACTCTGCTCTGCATCGATTTCTGATGGCAGGTGAATGGTGAAAGCCTGCCCATAGTCCCTTTTTCGAGACTTTTTCATGGTGGCAAAAAGCCAACCGCTATTTTTTCTCAAAGCCAAATCACTGGATGGTCACGGAACCAGTCGGCCAGTCAACAAGTGAACTGAGGGATAACGTTGGATGAAATTTAGTCCCTGTACATTCCAAACAAAGAGAGGATCAATGCTCGAGCGGGATCCCAGCATCATTGATGGCATTTTTGCCTTCCAAATCTGTAGTACTATAGTAGTAATTGATAGTAATTCTATAGAAGGTTAGTTATATGAGTTTCCACTGCCAACATCTGCCAACTCCCACGGATGGGCAAACAAAATGCAGAATGGCTATCAAAATTGTGGGGTAAATCAGCTGGCTCGCAGGTGAATAGGGCACTTAGTTTTCCATATGCGGTATGCCTCAAAAACAGAAGATGCCTCACACCAGGATAGTCCTACTAACCTGTTTGAAACAAACTATGAAAGTTATTTGGGACCGCAAGCTGAACTCAATCGTCCTTCACTCTTGGGGACATGTGAGAATGGAACTGCGCTCAGTTGCATGAAGAGGTACAATTTGCAATTCAGCCAAAATCAAAATCCGCCAAGTTGTGATCCATGCAACTCAATCAACTCATTGAAATTCACAAAGAACTCTTCTGATTACGTTCCAACGTGTTCCCTCAGCCGAGATTTGGGGCTCTGAAGATGTGTTTACCTCAAATTTGAGATTGCTACACATCCAAGCGCAAATAGGGTACCTCTACTACCCCGGGTTTATCATCGTCCCCACGAATCATCGCCATTTTTGGAATACCACTCCTATTTCCATGGCGCCATGGCCCCATGGCTTTTAGATCTGGGATTTCATCGGTTTTTTCCCATACCCTCTGGTAAACTAACATAGCTATGGAAAATCACTATTTTTAATGGGTAAATCCACTATAAATGGCCATTTTCAATAGCTATGTTAGTTCACCCGAGGGTAGCTTTTCCCATCCAAGCGTCTTGTAGGGTTTCTTGGAAGTCCTGAACGCCAGCCGACAGGTGCTGCGCTTGATCTTCGTGCGCTGATTCTTCTGAACCTCGTCGAACTCCACGGCCGTCAAAACGCCCAGGGTGTCCCACTGGAAGAAACGCACCTGGCAGCGCGACTTGCGTCTCTTGGGGACATCCTTCGAAAAAGAATGGAGATGTTCACCTGCCGCCCCAATCATCATGATATGTTAACTTATAACTTACTAATAGATATAATGATGAACTACCAGTATGATTATAACAGTCACAATGTCATAATTATTGCTAGTGTTTATTAGTCTACATTATGTTTGTATATTTTTGTTATTATTGCTAATGCGTTGGCGTTGGATCATTATGAATGGAGATGCTGAAGCATGTCTTTTACAGTTGGTGGTACAGTACGTATGTTGACATTACATGGTCGTAGGATTAGAACCCTCAAGTAGGTATCCTCCATATCTGTCGAGATCGGGGACGCACTTAATTGCCATTAGGATCCACTTTGCCGAAAGTGCTGGGCATTGCTGCACCTTCAATTTCATTCATATCCTCCATTTGAAATCCGTGAAACATGTGACCCAAAAATAAAGCATCCCCAACTCATCACCATATTTTAAGCATTTATATAATGGGTGGTATAAACCATGCCTAAATGGCAAATCCGAGGTGCAAAGTCCAAGCAGAGTCCTGGAGTTTCGAAGACCGTGCCTCGAGTCGAAGGAGGACGCTACAGACTTGGGCAACGTTCATGGACAAAAAAATGATCAAAACGGCCAATGGGTATCCCATAGACAAAGCCACAAAGTGGTGGACCAAGGCTTGGACGTTGGACAAATCAAGCATTCAAGCACCATGGTGTGAAAAGTCTAGCAAAATCAAGCCATGGGCAACCAATCATTAAGCACCCAGTAGACCCAGTAAAGTCAGTAGAGTACCCCAAAAATCCCATGATTTCTCATCAGTGTCCACCTGGAAAGAGCTCGATGTGATGCTTCCTCCATCTCTGGCCACACCAGAAGTGGATACTCTCCTGGAACTGAGTAAAAGTATGGTAAAGTACCATTGAAACAAAACTAGCACAAAAGAACCGCAAAAAAAAAACGCGAAAAAAAAAATCATGTGTCAAAGGTTGATGCAAATCATGCAAATCAATCCTCATAGCTTTTGGATGCAAAACACCACTTTATTGGTGAATTCATCTGGGGGTTCCCCCAGGGGCCCATCATTATATAGCAATGTGATGCAATGTGATGCAATGTGCGATGATTTCCTACCTTTGAAATAAATCACCATCTCCGTAATTCAAACGATCCCTCCAAACGAAACTGTCGGATGGACGCCTTCTCTGGGTGAGATCGCTGCCACCCGACCGCCGCTCCTTATCCTTCCGCACTGTGCGGGGGACGTACTTCTGATGGAACTCCTCAATGATGTCATCGCCTACAGAGAGCTTGGTGACGACGGCGAAAATAAAGTAGAGTATGATGAAGAATATGGCCGAAGCCTTTCCACTTAGTTGAAAACCATTGATATCCAGTGGTTGTGGATCAAATTTGCCGGGGATCCCCGGGGATCCGTTGCCGTTCGCTGTTCATGGGGTGTTCCTGCCTTCACAGGAGACATCGTAGCCCTTGGTGCGGTTCGCTTTCTTGCCGTTGAAGATGGCATCATCTGGATACAAAATGCATCCTGGCACAACCGAAACGCTGGGTGCTGAAAAAAAATACCCCTGGAAAAATGATGAAAAATTGGGATCGTCATCCCAAGCAAAAGCATAAATGAATATAAATGACACATCATACATATCTGTACTCTGAAAAAACTGACGGTGGATACATCATCGTTTTTTCTTATTACAGCACCCAAGATCCTTGAGGCCCCTTGAGGCCCTATGATGCCCTATGCAGCTGCCCAAAAGCTGGCCCATCCACATAGCCACGTCATCACGTGGTTATGTGTCCAAACTGGGGTATCAAGATTTTTCAATGGAGTACCAATGCATCCGTAGACCGGTTGGGAGTTTCGAACATGTTTGAGACCCCACAAAGTTGGTTGCCAGCCTACCACCCCCTGCCAAAAATGTTGACCAATAAAAACAAATGCCCCATTACTATAAAACAAAGAACCAATAAATCCAATCTAAATATAACATCTGTACAAAATCATATATAATATATACATAATATGTATATATATATATATTATTACGTATGTGTAAGTACATACAGTATATCTATAATCATATCATATAACAATATATAACATATGTATATATATAAGACTATATATAACTATATATACATACATGACTATATATATATACATACATATATGACTATATATATATATATACATACATATACATGATCCTACCAAACAAACTCCACCGTTGCCATCCCAGTTGCTGTTGCGCTTGTTCTTTCGAGTGATCGGCTCGATGACACCGCCGATGGTCATGGGCCAAGCGTAGTCCTCGGGGCCACTGGCCCCTGGACCTTGCGGAAGCGCGGGGCCCCTGGGCTGGCAATGGATGGCATGCAATGGGGAAAATCTCGGGAAAAACCCATGGTTTTAATACATATTTGATGGGATTTAATGGGGACTTAATAGGATTCAATGGGATTTCATGGGATCTAGATAGCTAAGTTGGTTTATGTATAGCTAGGTGAATTCGATGGCGTTTCTGACAGATATACAGTATATAATAATATATATATTATTATTTATATATTTGAAGGGGTTCACAGACCAACAAAACAACTGAGGATCATTTCCACAGCGGAAAGTGAATCTGTTCATGATCCAATTCTCGGAAACACATGGAAACACTGGATGCTCCTCTGAAAATAACAAAAAATCCTGCAAGAAGTTCTTGGGTGAATATGAACTGCTGTTTTTTCAGTCTTCAGATTTTACAAACTTTACCCTCTGGTAATTTAACATAGCGAACTGGAAAATCACCATGCTATTAAAGGGAAAATCCACTATAAATGGTCATGTTCAATAGCTATTTTGACATAACCAGAGGGTAATACCTCCATTTTCCTATGGTGTTCCTATGGTTTTCCCATTCAAACCTCCATTTTCCTAGGGAAATGTCCCATGGCCATGTCGATCTTTGAACGAAATCGGCTGACGCATCATCCCACGGCTGCTGAAAATGGCTGCTGATGTTTCACTCAGCAAATACTAAGAATATATAAGAATATGCCAATTGCTGATCAGAAAAATGTTGCTGATTAGATCTGATTACTTGTGACAATCCAATCATCGTGTTCATCGTGTTCATCCTCATACGCAAAGACCAAGAGTTTTCGCCTACGGATACGGAAGATTCTTCTGATCGCAGCCCCCCGCCTACCAGGTGTAGAAGCGGAAACCAAATGCAGGAGATCAAGTACCTCAAGGGATCTCAAGGGAAGCCCCCTGAAATCTCAGTGGAAGTAGCAAGTAGAGCTGGAAGTGCTGAGCAAATCCCATACTCAAAGTTTCAGCCCCTCCAGTGCTGAGGCAAACAACCTGCTTTGATTCAAACAACATCATTGTCACATTAGTCCAATGGAAATGTTGCGGGGGCAACCAGGTGTTCAAGCAAATTTTGAAAATGTAGGCAGCTGCAGTAAGGCATATCGAAAAACGCTGTGAAACCCTCTATTCCAGTGGTGTCACCTTTCTCTCAATATGGAAGGCGATGGTCCATACATTAGCACTTGGTTCGGCGGAAGTTCCGCCAAGGATGTCCAAGGTGCATATGATCATAAATCTGGACATATCTGGATATGGAGGTTTCCAATCTATGGGGGTACCCCCAAATCATCCATTGTGTTTTCGGATTTTCCATTGTAAACCGTCATTAATAGGGGGTACCATCATTTTCGGAAACATCCATTTAGTCAATCCAACAAGTTCAATTTTCCTCATCAAACAGTCCTGTGAGCTCTGCCGGAGCATCGCATTGCATGGCCAGGGCGCTCGAATTGAAAGTTCTCCAAGAGGGCCATCTCTTTACAAGTCTCCTAAAGCCATTTCCCGGGATGGTTCAGAATGGCATCAAAAGGGTACATGTTCCGTGATGATTCTGTTATTCTTGATCTAAATTCCATGCCTTATGATTCACATTGATTCACTAAATCTTCTGTGTAGTAAGTGTGGGTTCAAGTCATGTACTCTATTGTTTGGGCAGCAAAAACATGTTTTACTGTTTGGGGGATGATGTGGGGATCGCTGAACTCGGATGTTTCGGCAGTGAAGAATACCCCTGGCCGGGTCCTCATACCCGTTTTCGAACCATACAACAAAAAAAACAGTCTCATCAACTTGCACTGATAGGTAGAACAGGAACTAAATCATCCGGCTAATTAAAAATCCTTGCAACCAACGGGCCTTTCCAGGTCAAGTCCCCATATTTTTTCATGAGCAAAATTCGTCTCCTCCTGGGACCAAAGACCAAAACCTAAATCTGTTGACTCCATCTTTGTTGGTTGCATCTCTATTTTCATTGGATCAATCGTAATTTGCGTGTGTAATTTTTGATTTTTGTTGCTGAAATCGTTACTTTTTGCTGTTTAAGCATGGTAATGATAATGGCCACCGTTCCCTTTCAACCAAGTCTCTGATTTCTCCGGGAGCAGCAAAGGGCTATTCAACGCCTCCTTACCGCAACTTGGGTGAGGAACCCCTGCAGAGTACAGGATAAATACCGGGACACACCCATTTTTCCACAAAAACATGGACTTTTGCAACCAAAACCATGACGGGACATCCCAATGCAAGATGATGACCCACTGTTAGAGGTCCTCACCAAGTGCCCCTCGGTGGCTAAATTCCATCGGTGACTTCCATACACATTGTAGGTTTCCGAAAATGGTGGTATCCCCAAAATCATCCAAAAGTACTCCATTTTAGCATGGAAACGATTGAAACCCATGGTTTTGGGGATCCCCAATTTTGAGAAAACCACATATTTATTTGTGCCGCTTTCGTTTTTCAAGGGCCAGAGACCACCTGTTTCTATGCGCAGGGCTGGTCAAAAAGTTTCTGTTAGCTACTCACTGACTTCCAGCTTTACGAGGGTGGGATGCACCGTTGGGTTGGGAGAACTTGAGCGGCATATCGCGGCCCATTCTATACTTCGCTCCACAACACACTGTAAACAGAACTATGTGCCGCTTTCCTTTTCCAAGGGCCAGATCTGTATGTGCAGGGCTGGTCGGAAAGTTTCTGTCAGCTATTCACTGACTTCCAGATCCACGAGGGTGGGATGCACCGCTGGGTTGGGAGAACTTGAGCAGCAGATCGCGGCCCATTCTATACTTGCTCCACAACACACTGTAAACAGAACTATGTGCCGCTTTCGTTTTCCAATGGCCAGGGACCATCTGTTTCTATGCGCCGGGCTGGTCGGAAAGTCTCTGTCAGCGGCTCACTGACTTCCAATTCTCTTTTGCCTGCCACTGCACCGTGCAAATATGTGTCTGGGTATTTAGCCTTGAGTTCAGAAGCCCTAGTCAGCACTGCTGCATGGAAATTTGCCAGTCGTTGGCACAAACGATGAGGATATGGTGGTTGGGCTAACAAAGTCAAAATTGTCCCCATAGGAACCTTAAAGTTGCTGATGTCGGTTGCCAGTTCGAGAGCCAAGCCCTTGAGAAGCGCTGCAATGCTTCAGGTAGCTGGAAAGGTCAACATGAGCCCATAAAAATCGCGTGCACTTTCGAAAGGGTTTGCCATCCATGCAGAAGTCAGTATATGCCCAATTTGTAGACCCATGGTTCAGCAGGTGCTTGCTGGGGGAAGCTAACCACAATCTTGAGGTATGCAGATTTTCAAGAGCAACTGGAACACCAAGCTGAAGACAGCAACGAAAGACTTTGGGACTTTGGCAGAGAACTTTGTGAGAGCGTTTCCCACTTTGACCTTTTGTTGATCTTTAGGAGAAAGGTTAGGGTAACCCACGAGGAAGACACCATCATCTCTAAGGGGACCAGGACCACGACCATCCCACCCTCTTGCCCAACTCCAAGTAACTATGGCAAGGGGTTCCCAACAAACATAAGCCACTTGCCACGAAGCAATGAGATGAAGAAGTTGTTTTTAATGATTCTTGGTGGAAGTGAGATCAAAATGAGGTCCATGGCATGTCCGCTTCCACGCAGAAGACCCTTGTAGCCGTCGTCTATGGCACGGGAAAATGTCCAGATCCGCTGAAGATCTCCAAGCCATTCCAAGCCCACAGCATCTAAAAGCGACCGTCCCAGTGGCCACGATCTAAAATCTTGTTGATACAGCTCTCTTCCTGGGTGGCTTCGCGTTTCTGGGCGTAGCGCATGACGCTCTTGGCTGCTTCAAAACGCCCCTTGTTTTTTAAACTTCGGGGAGGGTGCGCAACCCGTCAGCCATCTGCTGAGGCACTTCCATGACGGATCTGATATGTGCATGTCATTCCGTGCTGGTCGTACCCCAACTCCACAATCGCCTACCTGCCACAACTTGCGGACAATCGCCGCCATCATTGGGCAGAGGTGGCCGTCCTTGTGGAGGATCGAGCTTCCTGAAGCCCGTCAGCGCTGCTGTCGCCCTCGGGAGCATTGAAGTCTTTGGGATGTCTTCCCTGTGCAACTTCACTGCCGCCATCAACGTCATCTTGTTCACGACCAGGTTTTCCAGCTCGGACTTGGTCTTCATGGACAGGCCTTTGGCCTTGGCAAAGTCCTTCAATTGCTGGCTGTCTTCCTCGCCAGCGTCTTGCCCTTTTTGATGTTTCTTCGCCTTCGGACCCCTTTCCACTTCTCCGCGAATCTATCCAACGCTGCGAAGCACTGTGGAACTTGATGGCTGCTCGTCTCCATCCGGACTCACCGCCCTTGATCTTGGAAGCATGTTGTTCTTGTAATTCACGAAGTCCCTTTTGAAGATCGAACAGCTTCACGTCTTGAGCCTGTGACGGCAGGTCAGCAGGGTTGAGTTCACTTGGAGCCCACCGCAAATGAAGGAACATCCCTGTTGCTAAGCTCAAAGCAGCAATCTGACGACAAATGCGATTCAGATGATTCAGGGCAAACTACTGGACCGACCCTTTGTTAATGCCAAGGTCACAGACATGGAATCAGAAAGAACCAAGCGTTTCTTACCCAAATTCTTTTGGGATGTACAGGCTGCCAGGATGCACCTCTCGTGGAAAAGCTCCAGCTCAGGAGGGGGCAAGTCATAGCAGAGGAAAACTCGCGTTCCTTCTGCTAGCGACATCATGCCCTATTGACTCTGCGACCTCGAAGCAAGGCCAGTTGCCGAAGTGCTCGATCTCTTTGTTCGTCACGCCCCTCAACTAAAGCCACAGGTGCCAAAGATGAAGGCAGGGAAGTAGGAGTTGCCGAAGAGCTCAGGTGATCAGCCAGCGTGCCAAAGACCTTGAACAGGAGATCTCCAACCAAGAAGCCACCCTCACCGTCGCACAGGCCATCCCCAACAGGACAAGAGCCTTAAAGAGCTCCCGCAGGATGGAGGCCTCAGGGCAGTTCTGGGTTTCCACCTTTGAAGGTGGGGACCTCCTTGTCAAGCCACCACGCTGACGCCCAAGCAATGGCAACAGCACAGATCCCAGGCAAGTCGATCATTGGAGGGGCTTCGAACTTGAGCAGCATATCGCGGCCCATTCTATACTTGGCTCCACAACACGACACTGTAAACAGAACTATGATTTTAACGGAAAAACATGTAAGAATCAAACACCACCTGCTCCATTGCCGCGAACCACAACAGGCTCGCCGTTCCACAGTTGCAGCCCGGTGTCCAGCGTCTTTTCGTTCACAGCGTCTGGACTGGAGCGTTTCCTTGGAGGTATCCCCCAACGACAAAGCTATATGAAACTGTACTGCCTCAACGTTTCCCAAGATCACCAAGCCATCCCCAGCGCAACATTGGAATACCGGATAATTGTGGTTCAAACACAAGGCACTGGTTCAAAAAAGGTCTTGATCCGCAACCTTGGACACTTGAATAGAAATGATCTAACGCAATCGTAAGAATATTTGCAGAATAACACAATAACTAATATGACAAACATCATAAACCAATATAATTCACGCTTCTATGGGAACCCTTCATTTCCATATATTTTCACAAACCTATGGGTTTATGAATTAGGGCTTCCTCCCCGGTGTCGAACATTCGCCCCGATCGCCCAGGGGCAGCAGAATCAGCTCAGGCAGAAGCATCCGGGACATGCGCTGCGCCTGCCCGATTTTCTGCGTGTTTTCTGGGGGAAAATCTGCGGGAAATAGCGAAATAACCAATGAATATTGGGTGATATCATATCATACAATTAATGGGATAGAATGGGATGTAAATTTAATAAAGGGATATGGATGTGACTGAAAATGTGGTATGTCATATAATAATTGCCTTATTACCTTGCAAATTGCCAATATGTCAACGGGAAAAGGATGTGATAAACCAGTGGAATTGGGTGTCACACATATTTTTGGGGGGTGCTGAGCAGTGACTGGCTGGAATGAATGAAATTGTGGCGCCCCCTTCAAAAAATGGCACGGTTCAAGACTTATTGACTCATCAAAATGGCCTTTACCAATACCCAAAAGTGTTTTTTTCCAAAATATATACAGTATTATAAGGATTAATCAGGAAAACATCTGGGAATTATCTCACACAACAATATGTTGACCTCCCAAAAAAAATCGGAGGCTGCTCGGCTAGAAAAAAAACACGGTCTGCCCACTGGGGCGCCCCTGGCGGACCTTGATCATTAAGGTCTTTTGGAACTTCGCCGCATGTTTGCTTTCCTGGGCCGCTCGATACCTCGAGGGTTGCCAGGTGGTTTGCCAAAGTGGGGCTACCCCCTTGCATCATCCAGTCGTCATGGATGACCATGACTGAGTATTGAAACCCATGGTGACTTGGGGATCCCCGACTTTCGGAAACCTCCATGTGGGGTTCCGGAACCACTTTGCCTCAATGCCTGTACAAACCACTTCTGCTTCTGCGCAGACTCTGCGGTGAACAGCGCATAACAGCGCATCAAGAAATGCAGCCAAATAGCATGTGGGACAAGACCAAAATGTACCTCAGCAAATGGGTGGAATTTGGCGCAAACTCCGCAGTTGGTGGTAAGTGAAAAGTAAAAAAAATGTTAGGAACCAAAAGGTTAATCTTGCTAAATTTCCTCATTTTGTAAACCTTCCAATTTTGAGGCTATCATGCTCCACTTCAAAGAGCAACTCGCCGGAAAAAAAATGACGAGCCGAGCCCCATAGCTGTAACAGCATCCACCATTTGTATCCAAGGTCCAGCTGGCGAGCTAACTGGGCTCAACAAGCCGAGCCGCTCGTTTTTGGTTGAAATATCTTCAGTTATAGCGGACTTCACAGTTGATGAAGTTTATTCCTATTCTACCCCAGCGGATATGTAATTTACCAAGGTTCATCACTTATTAGCTGTAATGGAAAATTCGCGTATCAGTTTACCAAAAAATCCCACTATGTTCCATTGTATCCAATTCTGTCCCACTGTACACCACTATGTCCTTGTGAACCCATTGGTTTATCCCCATATGGTTGGTTATATCCTCATTATATCCCCATTGTATACCTCTTTGTCCCCAGATTGTTGATCAATGGTATTCTCATTAAGCTCTGGTAAACAGAGATGTGGAAAACCCAGCATTTGCAGATTATTGTCCTATGGGAAACCAGTGGTCTTCCACACGTTCTGAAGTATGTTTACCCGAGGGTACATCCCCAAATTATGATGGTTTAAAATATGGGTTTCCCGAGTGTTTCATGGAAGGGCATCCCATGTCATCACAGTGTCATTCGTAGTGCTCCACTACAGCATATCCCATGAAATCCCTTTGAAATTGAAATGGTTGGTAAAGTCCCAAATAAATTCAATGATGACCAAGTAGATTACAAAATATGGTCATGCGAAATCCCAGGAAATCGTGCCATAGGTATGGTTTGTTAAAACTTATGTGAAACTAACTTTCACAAGCAGGTGCCATACCTGTAGTAAATCAGTATATCAGTAACATTTAGTGGTGTAAAACAATGTTCATGGTTTTCATCATGAAATCCCATCAAATCCTATTAAATATGCAAATCCCTATTGGTTTAAGCCTATTATATCCCACTAATCCAAGTTTATCTCTCATAAAATCCAAGTTTGCCAAACCCCTTTCATGCTTGATAAAATCCGATTCCATCCTCCTGTGAATGGTTAGTATATCACCAAAATCCCTCCAAAACGGTAGTCATGAATAAAATCCCTATAACACTTTGGAGGTTTCCTAGAATGGAGGTCCCCCAAATCATCCAGGAATAGATCTTTTTGCGATTGAAACCCATGGTTTTGAAAAACTCCCCATCTCAAGAAAGGACCATTTGGTAAATCCCCAAAATTCAGTGCTGGAAGTTCCCAATTGATACATACCGCACCAGCCGTTGTCATTGCCAAAAGCCAGTGGCATCTCCAGCTGTGTCTTGAGCAGCCGGGCAAAGTCGGCGCGCTCCTGCCGCTGGGGATTTCGTCATCAAAAAGCGGAGATCAAACCATGGAAAATGGAGATTTTATCATCCAAATTCTGATCATTGGAAGGCTATTGTGAGTGTATAAATAATGTAGTATATATATATATATGTATTCTGTATATTTAAATTATTTAATGTAAATCTTACCGGTTAAATCCATCTGTGTGTTGCTTCAAGCACCATCCCTCGCAGTGTTTTCGCAGCCTCCACGTTCACCATAGAGCTGGTCGGCCGCAGGAGCTCCTTGGATCATGGCTGCAGGAGCAAAGTAGCTATGAAAAGTGGTAAAATCTTGTGGATGGTTGCGAAATCCTGCACCAGTAGAAGGCTAACATCCTGTTATAATCCCAATACTGGCAGGTTTTCATAGTTACCAATCGTATTTTGTTGACGAACATTTTTCCAAATGTTTATATAACCAATTTCTGAATAAGTACTTAGCTCACTCTTGGTCAATAGTTTATAGGCAACAAGAACATCTGCGTGGTTTAGCCACCCACTTCATCAATAGAAAAGTAACTATTCTGTAGAAATTGGTAATAAATGGTAACAAAATGGTAACAAATAAAAATGGGAGACACCCTCCTGGCCAACGGACCCATTGAAGTGGGTGGGAAAGCTTCGGTTTCCAAGGCGGATGCTTCGGAAAATGTCCGATCAAGGTACTGAAGTGAGGACATTGATTCGACAAATTTCCATACTAACTTCCATGGAATATGTACTGTAACACATGCCTGATGCAACTTGTCCATTCGCACACCAGTCAAGATCACCTTTCTCAAGCCTACTGCCGAGATCGATGCTCGTCTCATCATGACCTATCTTACAATGAGATGCTGTTCCAAACAAAACAAGAACTAGCTGGTTAGTATCAAAATATACCTCTCCCTCAACCACTGTGGTTTGTGTTCCAAAATGTCGTAATGGTAGGAACAAAAACCCAATTTTCATGGTTTTTACCAGTCTATGGTAAATTTGGGGATGGTAAAATATTGCCTTACGAAGAAATTCACCCGTCCCAGCATCCGAACTGGTGGAGAGATCTTGTTCAATGATGGCCCAGCGATTAAAGCTGCTCGCGTGCGCCATGGCGGCGGCAAACTTGGAGGAGACCTTGTTGGTGGCTTCGTTCCTCGGTCCGGACGTCCGGACTCCCGAGGGACCGTTGTGGTTCAACTGCCAGGGATGATTTTCATGGATATATATGATATAACCATGGTCAGTTCACCTCCATAAGTTTATATATATATATATGTGTATATATATATGTATATATATATATATATGTATACAATTATATACATATGTATGTATATATATATATATGTATACAATTATATATATATGTATATATATGTGTGTGTACGTGTGTATATATATGGTTGTTGATCAAAATTCCTTTATCCCGGAACGGCCATTCTTCGCGAATAAAAATTTTACTTTCGCGAAACTTTCGCGAACTCCATGCTTATCTTTCGCGAGGCCCATGTTGGCCAACAACACCTCTTATGAAGATTCGTTCACCACCTGCCAAATTACGCCAGAGAATCACGGATCACTTCTTGGTAGCCTTTTAAACATGCAGCTAGCATCACGGAATCCCTTCTCAGGACAGATTTTTTTTGCAAAGTTTACTGGCCCACCCCCTTCAACATGCACTTTGACTTTCGCCCGCTCTTTCGCATAACTTTCGCGGAACTTTCGCGAAAATATCCCTATTCACAGACCCCGGTCATCAGCAGGGGGTGCACTGAAGGAAAAGCGAAGACCAGGGGCCTTGGTGTTTGGCTCTCGCAAAGCCTCACTTTTGGAAACTTGGCTACTGCTACTCGCATTTTCTGGTGCCCTTCTCCTGCCGGACCCCGGGCGGCAGTGGGTGGCAGCCCTTTACATATAATGATTAGTAATACCCCACTTTCGCGAAACTTTCGCGAAATAAAATTTTACTTTCGCGAACTCGAAAAAAAACTTTCGCGAGGGTTTCCAACATAACATGCACGGCTTTCGCAATTAAAACTCCTTACAAGGACCTTTAGATCGATCACCATATATATATGTGTGTGTGTGCATATAGCCTCTATAATTAATTAGTATAGTATAAAACCACTTAGTTCACTGGAACTGCACGCCCAAGAATGGATTGGTTGAAGGGGAAATCTCAACCAGAAACTATATAGTTGGTTTCTGCCACCAAATTGATTGGGGTGTCCTGTATATGGTCCCATCCTCAAATTCTGGGTTTATCAGGCAAAAAGGACTTTGGAAGTAGGCTATGATTCTTGATTTTAAGTTAATAAGCCCAATGATCAGTGCCCTACGAGTGCTAGCCTCACTGTTACCCACCGTTCACGGCTTGAGTTGGGTAAACACGTCACCTCTTGCATGTCATCGAAAAGAATGTCATCTCCCACTTCCGGTCACAGAACTCAAAGCCACCAAGCCACCATAAGCTGCCATCATCTTACATCACCAGTTGACTCAGTTGAGTTCGGTAAAAGAACCCAACTTTTCTGTAGCTGATCTTCCCCAAACACTCCAGTTGCTGCAGTCCAACCCACCAGTCACTCGCTTTGCGGCTGAGCATCTGCAGGATATCACTCCAGAGTGCATCTAAGATTGACATCTCTTGCACCTGCCGAAACCCGGGAGGCCGCTTCCTCTGGGGAAGCGGTCATGGAACCTACTCAGGAACTACACCTGACCTCAAAAGCTCCGATTTTTTGAAGCCCAACTGCAGTTTCGTAGGTTTCATCTGCAGTCACAGCCTCTAAGTTTATCGGTCCCTTGAGTTCCAGGGGTCCAGCTTTTCTGTTAATTTTGGGGGTTGCTACTTGGATGTGCATCACAGTTAGTAAGGTGGCGATAACCATATTGTAATCTAGTTATATATATAATGTATGAGATACCCTAGTGATACATGGGTTGTTAACCACCTACTACTTGGGCTGCAATTCTATCCATGTGAATGTTGGGCCGGCATTCTATTCATCATATCCATAATTCTTAGTTCTATATCCTGCTGCATCCCCATTAAATCACCATTGAATATGTGTTTTGGTTGTATCCCAACCCACATTTTTGATGGTCAACACCTTATTTGTGACCTCCCCGAGGGTGCGAATAGGCCCTCACTTCGGGCTGCAGGGGCCATGGATGTAAAATGGCTTATTAATATAGCTCCAGTGAATGGAAGATCCCTGGATGAAATATGGAATATATGGATTACCCTCTGGTAAACTAACATAGCTATAGAAAGTCACCATTTTAAAGAGCTAAATCAATGTAAATCATCTGTTTCAATGGCTCATTTTCCATAGCTATGTTAGTTCACTGGAGGGAATATCCACCCATTAAATCACTATGAAATCACCATTGTGACCCTGATGAACTATGGGTCAATAGTGATTTAAATATATATGGGGTATTCTCCCATTATTCATGATATAAATCACTATTATCCCATATATACCATTAATAAATCACTATTATCCCATATTATCATCATTATTATCCCACTATTATCCCACTATAATATTAAATCACTGGCTATCATCCCATTATTATCCCATTAAATCACCATTGAAATATGGGATAATACCCCCAGCGGCAATCCCCCACCTGTTCCTCCGCCGTCCGCGCTTGGGCCGTCCCCAAGCGCAGGAGCTCTTCCGTCAGCAGCGCGCGCATATTCGCCTCGTGACCGGAGAAGACCAAGCTGCTTGGGGGGTATGATGACTTAATCAATAGATAGATAGATAGATAGATAGATATATAGATAGATAGATAGATAGATAGATAGATAGATTAGATTAGATTAGATTAGATTAGATAGATAGATAGATTGATTGATTGATTGATAGATTAGGTAGGTAGGTAGGTAGATAGATCGATCGATCGATAGATAAATAGATAGATAGATCAGGTAGGTAGGTAGGTAGGCAGGTAGGCAGGTAGGTAGGTAGGTAGGTATATAGATAAGGAAGGTAGGTAGGTAGGTAGGTAGGTGGATAGATAGATAGATAGATAGATAGATAGATAGATAGATAGATAGATAGATGATTGATTGATTGATTGATTGATTGATTAGGTAGGTAGGTAGGTAGGTAGCTAGCTAGCTAGCTAGCTAGCTAGCTAGGTAGGTAGATAGATAGATAGATAAGGTAGGTAGGTAGGTAGATAGATAGATAGATAGATAGACAGATAGATTAGGTAGATAGATGGAAAGATAGATAGATAGGTAGGTGGATAGATAGGTGGATAGATAGATAGATTTAGGTAGGTAGGTAGATAAGGAAGGTAGGTAGGTAGATAGATAGATAGATAAGATTAGGTAGGTAGGTAGGTAGATAGATAGGTAGATAGATAGATAGATAGATTAGTAGATAGATTAGTAGATAGATTAGTAGATAGATTAGTAGATAGATTAGTAGATAGGTTAGTAAATAGATTAGTAGATAGATTAGTAGATAGATTAGTAGATAGATTAGTAGATAGATTAGTAGATAGATTAGTAGATAGATTAGTAGATAGATTAGTAGATAGATTAGTAGATAGATTAGTAGATAGATTAGTAGATAGATAGGATTAGATTAGATTAGATTAGACTAGACTAGACTAGATTAGACTAGATTAGATTAGATAGATAGATAATTAGATAGATAGATAGATAGATTGATAGATTGATAGATTGATAGATTGATAGATAGATTGATAGATTGATTGATTGATTGATTGATTGGAATAGATTGGATTAGATTGGATTAGATTGGATTAGATTGGATTAGATTGGATTAGCTGGATTAGATTGGATTAGATTGGATTTGATTGGATTAGATTAGATTAGACTAGATTAGGTTATATAGATAATTAGATAATTATCAAAGGAAGTTTAGGGGGAGAAACTTCCGTGTTACGGACTTTTAGAATGTCAGGGAAAGAGTTAGTCAAAGAAAGAGTTAGCAAAGAAAGAGTTCGTCAGGGAAAGAGTTAGTCAAAGAAAGAGTTAGTCAAAGAAACAGTTAGTCAAAGAAACAGTTAGTCAAAGAAACAGTTAGTCAAAGAAACAGTTAGTCAAAGAAACAGTTAGTCAAAGAAACAGTTAGTCAAAGAAAGAGTTAGTAAAAGAAAGAGTCAGTCAAAGCAACAGTTAGTCAAAGAAACAGTTAGTTAAAGAAAGAGTTAGTCAAAGAAAGAGTTAGTCAAAGAAACAGTTAGTCAGGGAAAGAGTTAG